TAAGGATAAAAACAGATAGCTGCAACAATCTGCCAACATTATAACACCATTCTTGATATAAGCTGGGATAAAAATTGAAACTCCCATAAATACCTGTATTTTCAAACGAAATACCACCTGGAGGTCTTAAAACTGTAGGGGAAGTGAAAGTCCTAGGTTACAGATACCTGCTAAGACACAGATGGTGGCCAATTGGCAATTTTAATTAGGAATCAATTAAATGTCCATTACACCTTTTCAAAATGTGCCCCCTGCAGGATGTTCTCTGCCCTGCACAAGCTGTTGGGGATGAGTCTGTGTTGTGCAAATGGTTCTTGTAGTTTGCAGTTTGTAGTCAGTTTGAGATGGAGACAAACACAGACTCATCACCATCAGCCCACACCTGCATTCAACAGTGAAGGGGCACAGGGCAGAAAACACAACTTCACAACAGTCCTTTCAGCAGTTCCAAGAAGGCTCCACACCCTGCTGCACTACTCAGGTGACCCTGAGAACACAGACAAACCTCCAAGTGACTCAACAATTTTCTAAAAGAATTCAAATGACGAGCCGTCTGCAAGGAATATAAATACTTCCATTTCCTGCAATCCAGTCAGAGTTGAAGAAGCTTCTTGGATGAGAAGTGAAATGTCTTCAAAGAAAAATAAGAAAGTCCTGCTGCCTCTTGAAAAAGCACCTTTGGGACAACCATCACCTGGATGACTGAGAATCTCCATTGACATCATAGTAGAAGACAATTAATGACAAAATCAAGAACAAGACATACACACTGAAATCAAAAGAACAACGTGAGAGTCACAAACTAGGCACTCTGAGGCTATCAGAAGCAGCCTATAATAATCTTTCCCCATTAGTATGTACCTTGTTTCCCTGAAAATAAGACCTCTTAATAAGACCAATTGGGCTTTTGAGTGCATGCGCTAAAGTAAGGCCGCCCCTGAAAATAACCCCCTCGAAAATATTGCAACACATAAGCACCCATGCAGTGACCACCCTCGCTGCCTCCTGCACCTCATAAATAATAAGACCTCCCTGAAAATAAGGTCAACTGCTTATTTTGGGGAGTCAAAAGAAAATAAGACCCTGTCTTATTTTTGGGAAAACACAACAATAAAGCCAATGATTCTTAAACAATATATTTGGGACACTGATTTTTGAACTGATCTAAATCTCACCTTGTCGCAATTGGAGTCTTTTCCAACAGAAACATATCAGCTTCCTGCCATTTATCTATCACCACCATGAAATTCCATAGAGCTTTCACCTGGCCAGGCTGGATGCATTAATTTTTGCCTTCCTATTAGGATGATTTCCCCATCATCAACATACAGTATATCTCCTTGCGTGGGTATAAATCAATGGGGACTTTGAGCCACATATTTCCATACTGATATCTCTATGGTGGTTTGTAACCAATTATATCCTCCACAACCACGTTTGAATGAGCAGCCTTCCCATTAACCATTGCATGTGATTATTCACAGACCAAAGAAACAAAAAAGTGGAGTTCTCAGGCCTTAAAATATGGATATGAGGACGCACTAACAACAATAGCCACTATGGTGATTAAAAAAAGAGAAGCATTATTTGATTTAATCAATCTAGGGCAGTAATAGCAAACCATTTTGGTGCTGTGCCCAAAGCATGCGCACCCCCAAATGCAATGCAAGTGCCCCCATGCGTGGGCCCTGCCCCCCGCGCACATCCCACATGCATGCGTGAGCGCCCCACCTATTTTTGGCTTCCAAGTTGGTACAGGAGGCCTTCCAGGCCCAAAATGGGGCGTGGGTGCGTGCATATGCACACTAACCCCCAAAATGCAATGAGCGCCTTCCACACATGAACCCCACCCCTTGTGCATGCGTGTGTGTGCTGGAAGGTCCGCAGAGAAGACTCTACGTGCCACCTGTGGCACATGTGCCATAGGTTCGCCATCACAGATCTAGGGCAAAGAGATGATAGAGAAATCAGAAATTTCCCATTGAATGATGACAATGCTTCCAAATTTATTTAAATGTTTGAATGTTCTTTTCAAATTGGTCCACCCCATGAGGCATGCTGTGTACCAGGAGTCTTGGCAGCTCTGTATTATTATATTAATGCTAGCTGAGAAGATAGTTTGATAACAGATATTACATATACTCACTGATAAACCAAGAATTTTAAGTTCTAAAATGCACACCAAATTTGGGTTTGACTTTTCTGCAAACAAAGCTCAGATTTTTAAAGCCTGTCATGATATTAGTATCACACAACTTTATAAATGAGGATATAACCATTTGCAGTTTCCTGCCTGCGATTCAATGATTGCTTATCACTGGGTGAAACATTTTTTCATAATATCTTGGTTGAAATTTCAAAGGTCAGCTTATCCGTGATTATCTATGGTAACTTGCATGTGTTTATTAATTGTGGAACTAAAGCCACATTCCTATACCAGTTTTATGTGGGGGTTAGCTTTGTATCATTTTTGTTCATATAAATATGCACAGGGCTGCTGTGGATAACAATTTCTAATATTAAAAGTTTCATATCTAGACAAAATTCCAAATGGACTTTACATGTCAACAAAGATACATCCAATTCCAACTGTCTGGCGCCATCTAGGTAAAGGTAAAGGTTCCTCTTGCACATATATGCTAGTCATTTTTGACTCTAGGGGGCGGACCTCATCTCCGTTTCAAAGCTGAAGAGTCAGTGCTGTCCGAAGACGTCTCCATAGTCATGTCACTGGCATGATTAAATGCTGAAAATGCACGGAACACTGTTGCCTTCCAGCCAAAGATGGTTCCTATTTTTCTACTTGCATTTTTACATGCTTTCAAACTGCTAGGTTGGCAGAAGCTGGGACAAATAACAGGAGCTCTCTCCATTATGTGGCACTAGGGATTCAAACCACTGAACTGCTGACATTTCTGATCAACAAACTCAGTGTCTTAGTCATTGAGCCACCGCGTCCCTATGACGTCATCTAATAATCATTCAAATTGTGTAGCCCAGGTATGCCTTTCTAGGCCATACAGTGGGAGCCAGCCTTGCTGTTTACATAAATCATTTATATTAAAAAAACATAATTTTATATTAAAAAAGCCGAACTGGAAGTGGCCATTTCTTTTCTCAGGGCTTCCGGCTGACACAGCTAAGGGGGGGGGGGGTGTTGTAGTGAAAGAGGGGCTATGTTGAAAAACAGAATAGCTCTTTGGTGAGTCAGAGACATTCCAACAGGTGGCTGGCCAGTGGAGGAGGAGAGAAGTAACCTGGCAACCAACTAGTATCCAGATTGGACAATGTGATTTATTGTTTTGGAAAACAGGAAACATTTACTTTTTAATGTGGCGAAAAGCATGGGAACATTTAGAGTTGGCTTTTCACCAGTTGTATCAAGATGATACTTCCTAATAAAGCTGTTTTTTGAGGAATCAACCTGTCTCGGAGTTCTGCTTTGAAATGGCTGCATTAATTGGAACGCTGACACTGCACATGTTTTTTTTAAAAAACTCTGGATGGCAAATAACCAATAAAATGGCCTAAAACAATATAAAGTGGTATAAAAACCAATAGCAATAAAAAATAAAATCAAAAAACCTGGTGCAGCGGCCAGTTTGCACTCTTAACTCCCATCCCAACCTGGTCTGGGGGAAGACCAAGGTTTTAAGTGCTGTCTGGAGGATGAAAGGACAGGGACCTATAGGATCCTAGGAGTGAGGGTGTCCATAGGGGAGGGGCTACAATGGGAAAGGCATGCTTTCAAAGGCACACAAGATGACAGTATTTGCAAAAAGGGGGCTGGAGTGGAATGTGCAAGTGTCCTCCGTCCTGTGGGATGCACAGGAGAACTAAGGGAGATCATGCCTTGTAGAGCATGAGAGGTTATAGTCAGTACCCCTTGACACCCAGAATAACACATAATATAGAAAGGCAAAGTGCCTCTGGATTATATGCACAATTGTATGCATGAAATTGTTCTGACCTAAGCTTCCCAAGATCATGAAGCAGACTCCTCGTCCCGATAAAACCTCTTTTATTTAGATTAAAGGGAATTCCTCTCCAGCAAAGTCTCAGCAAACTGTCTTTCCTGAGATTTCACAACTACAGACCTTTATCGAGCTTGGAGAGCTGCCAGGCCGATATCTTCCAAATGCCACTCTGTAGCAGCAATTAAGAAGTCAGGAACAGATCTTCACCTTAATGAATTGAACTAATTATCTCCTGCAAACTCTACTTCCCTTTCTTTCCTTTTTATTCCCAATGGGAGGGGCAATTCACCATCCACCTATGCCTTTATTCCTGAGTTTACCATTGTTCCTTAACTGTTCCCTTCTCCTGGCAGCTCTTTGCGTGCGCACATTGGGAACAGGCTCCAGCTGTTCTTCTGCCCCAGATATCCAACTCCGAAGGCAGCTGATAACTGTTAGACAGCCCGGGCCCCATCTCTGTCTCCAACGCAGAGTGCTCATTAGAGCCTTCCCCAGACTCCAGGACTAGCCCATGTTCCTCCCCAACTTCCTCACTGTCTGAGTCTGCCGCCAGCTTTGCTGGCTGCTGGCGGGCCACAACAGTAAGCTACTGATTAGCTTGATGGAACTCAAGGATGGAGCCAGTGAAGAGATCCTGATCCTCTCCTACATTTTATCTACAAAAAGCAATTTCAGCCCTGAATAATGAAGCTACAGCAAGGGAAAGTCTGAGAGGTTTATTTAAGTGCTAATAAATTATACCGTCAAGACTTTGTTTAAAGGGAATATACGTATATATTCTGATCAATGAGGCAAAGATTGCAGCTTAAATGAACAGGAGAGGCTGAAAGATGATCTAAGGCAGACTAAACCTTTCTTAGTTTAAGAAAAAAAAGATGAGAGAGATAATGGGGGAAAATATCACACATCATGCAAGGATGCATTATGAATCTTATTCTCAAACTGCAAATAGCATTCATTGTGTGAATGAAAAATAATTCTGTGTTTATGTATTTACATGTAGTAAAAAGAGAGAAATCATACCTGAGGGCATAAGGTCTCCAAGTGATTGGCTGCTGTTTGGACAATGTTAATTCCTTCTTCATTTGTGGATACCGAGCAAGCAAGATTAGCCACCTGAAAAAGGATGAGGAAAAACATTATTAGTAAATTTTGATACAATCGCAGAAAACCTTAATCTTTTGTCCTCCGATTGCTTGGGTTATAATCAAGCCCCTTGACATCCAACTGATTTGGTGAGATGCATTTTATTAGGAACAGATGGTAACCTGGCACTGCCCAGGTATTTATTTATCCCAACCATCCTTCCATGAATGTCGCCGCAATTTCTTTTTTCTTTTTTTGCATTTTTTTATTTTTAAACATAAAAAAAACAACATAAAAAAATTCTCATCCATTACATACAGCTTGTCGTTTGGTTACAAGTGTAACCAAGTGAGGACCCAGATTGTTGGGGGCAATATGCTGACTCTCTGTAAACCGCTTAGAGAGGCCTGAAAGGCCTATGAAGCGGTATATAAGTCTACTGCTATTGCTATTGCTATTTTTATTGCTATTGCTATCAGTCTTTCATTGTATCGTTATTAATCTATTTAACAACATAATTGTATTATCACTTATCTCCTTCAATTAAAACATAAGTAAAACATTTTTCATTTCCAGGTTTTTTTTTTCTAGCCACTGATAAAACAAATCCCATATCTTATAAAATTGCTCATCTTC